CTTTTGTTTTCTCCGTGGCAGTCTCTTCGACTACCAACAAAATTTAAACAAAAACAATACCATCTCCCATCATGATATAAATGTTGATAAATTGCACACATTCACATGCGTTACTTCTTTTTATTTTTAATAAATAATATTTTACAAGATCTTGCTAAAATACCACCGGTTTAATTTAACATTTGGTATTTTCATCAGAGTAATAGGAAATGAGCAAGTAGATTTTATTTTTGATATTCTTAATTTAATGCATAGTTTTCTTATACATATATTTGCATGAAAAGGAGACGGAAAGTGAACCCCACAATTAAATAAAATAGAGTTCAAAGTGCGATTTCTTCTTTTTGCGCTTTAGTTTCTCACTCTTTCTGTGCTCTTGCTCTCTGTTCTTTCTCTTCCATTTCCATGGATCACTTCTTCTCTCTCATTTGCCCTAATTCTCCATCAGTACGCATATCTTCTTTTCTTCTTAATTTTCACAAGAAAAAATTAACCCAACCAGCGGTTTCCACACTAACCGCAACCAACTTCATTTTTTTTCTTCCAATTCTAACGTTTACTATAACTAACGTAAATTCATTTTCGTGCTACTCATTAGGAATTTCATGAACGATATCTAACTACTTTTTCTGTCAGAATTTCATGAACGATATCTAACTACTTTTTTCTGTCAGAATTTGAATTAGACTAATCACATTCTATTTGTCACTAAAACCTTGGCCTGCAACTGCAAGAATGTTGATAGAGTTTTGTGATCTTATAATTTAAGAGTCATATGGTTCTAATTATGTTTCTGCATTATAATTCACTTGAAAATTTACTTTACTTTATCAATGTAATACATTACTCCTGATTGTGTTTGGTGTCTGATATGCCTCAGTGTTAGTTAGATACGGACACATGTAGTTACATTCAATTTCTTACTTTTTTAAATTATTATCGGGGTGTTGTGTCCGGAGTCCGTGTTGGTGTCGTCAATGCAGCAAAAAATTGTCAAACTCTGCATTGAGTATTACGGTATTTATATTTACCAAGGTTCTTTGTATTCTCATCATGAATTTCACTTTTTTCTTGTCTTGGTTTATAGGTATGGGATGGAAAGGGATTCTCCGAATGTTTTGAAGACATATATCCTTATTGATGTTGAAATTATAGTATTAAGTTTCTGCATGGCAATTTTTCCCCTTCCATGAATTCATTTTCCTTAACTAAACCTACTGTGTTAGGTTTTGCAGTGAATGTAGTGACTATTGTTATGATTATTGTGCTTAGCTTTAGTCAAAAGATTGGTGGTCGTCGTGGAGCTCAAAGATCAGACTCTCAGGTAGTTGCTAATGTTGTGATCTTAAATGATTTTGAAAAGGTGCTAGAAAACCATTACAGAGAAACTTGTTGAAAATTCATAATTTGCCCTGTTTTCTATTCACAACACTGTTATTTGCAAGCTTTCAATCGTGTTTATACAGTAATAGAGCTCATAAATAGTCCATTTAACTGTCTGGATTATGCATGAACAAGTTTTAAGTACCCCCTTAAACAATCTATGTATTCTATATGTACTTGAGATGATTATATTCATATTTGATGCTTTTGAAATGAATCAACAGACGCCTCTTCTAGAGAAATTTGTCCTGGATTTTGTACCAGCCATTGGAGCATGCTTCTCAGTTTTGGAAATAATTTTCCTGCTGAAGAAAGAACATGATGGTAGCTATGTTGAATATTATAAGTGGTTATGTAGCTGTTCTGAGTTGTTGCTGTGGGTAAGTTTCCTTATATTTAGTTGTCAGCTACATTATTATGAAGACTTTAATGCTTTGTTTTTTTCTTGTGATCTACATTTTTACTGGTGCCAATATGTAGGCAAATATCATTCTCTTCACAAAGTGTGCAAGGAGTCATTGCATAGTCTTCAACCGTGTCTTATGTTTCTGGTGGATTCTGAAACCAATATTGGGGATTTTCCATTTGATAACAAAGTTTTCATCATTGGAGGTGCTAATATTTTTGGGCATGCCGTGCTTTACCTTTGTTACTAGTAATATTTATTTATTTTCAAATAAATCTTATACCATATGTTAGACGTGAAAGATATGTCATAACTTTCATTTCAGGTTTCAGTATGCATAATGGAAAGCTTAGTTATTCTCTTGAATATATCATTTTGCATAGCTATCAATCTGATCAGGATAAAGAGATTATCTTCCAAAAGCAGGTATATACCGGTCTGTCACTCTTACACAGTCACGTTCTTTTTAAGACTATTAATAAAAAAAATTAAAGGCGGTCCATGAGACAGTTGATAGCTCAATTGTCTTACCAGGTCACATCCCTTATAGGTCCTAATATATTCAAAATGATTTGTTCTAATAGAGGCACCAAGAAAAGTGTCTTCATTCAATTGTCTGTGACGTTTACTATTAGTATATGCAAATTATGTTTTGCTTTTGAAGTACATTGAAAGCTCTTGAATGAATCTTCTGTCATGATTTTAGTTTATTGGAAGATCCACTTCTTTCCAACGGAGGGGACCTTGAGGAAGGTGAAAATCATGACCTTGTAAGTACATGCTGTCGATTATAACCCTCTTCTCAAACTGTGCAACTCACTTAAGATAATTAGTCTATAATATATAATCCCTTTTGATGTCTCGAAAAAAGTATTTTATATATATGGAAGGCTATAATTGTAAGATCTGAATACAAATTAATTCTTGCATACTGTTTTATTTACATATTGAGGAGTGGAAATGTGCGGGGTAAATGTCCAAAACTCTTGTTGAATTTGAGGATGTTAACATTGGCTGTTAAATTATTTCCTTTGACAATTGTGTCAGTAGTTTGCTTATGCTTGCATAAATTTGTAACTCATTTTTATTTCAAAGTATAAAAATTTCAACTTGGAACCAATGCACGGTTCGACAGTCAAAAATTGTAATGCAGAAGTGGTAGGATATAATCTCACTAACTAAAGATACATGATAAAAAAAAAGCTTATGAAAACATTTTCAAACTTCGTGGCTATTTACCAAATTGAAAGTTGAGAAGTTTATTTTCCCAAGACCTGAAGTTGTCTTAGTTGTGTCTGATCTTATTCTTCTTTACTGATTCTGCTCTTTTCTTTTATTTGTTGTATCCCTTCTTTTAAATTAAGTCTTTCACTTGATATGATATGTAAATACAAATAAAAACTTGACTACCATTCATCTTGAATATGGAGTTCATTGATGTGGTTTCTTGTGTTTGGCACAACCTCCTAAAATACTTCAAAAGCGATAATGTGGCTTGTATTCCTGTTCTTGACAATTTGCATAAGACTATCTATGCAAAATTATGATGGCTTTAAATATTTGAATTTTATTAATAGAAATTTTTTTGTCTGGGCTATTTTTGAAGCAAAAAACAACCCCTTTTAATCCTGTCCAATCATTACCTCTGTATTATTTTATTTTTTCAATTTCTATAGATTGATATGCTTTCATTAATTGACTCTTAAACTTTCTTTCTGAAGGGAAATAATGGTAACTTTTGGGATTTGATGACTTTCAAATTCATAAGTCCTGTAATGAATCAAGGGGTGCTAAAGCAATTAGACTCTGACGATCTTCTACCGCTACTACCTGACATGAGTCCTTCTTTCTGTCACGATATAATTTTATCCAGTTGGCGAGAACAGTTGAGTAATAATGGTTCAAACCCTTCCTTGCTTAGAGCACTCTGTAATGCATATGGATGGCAATATCTCCGGCTTGGTTTATTGAAGGTATTTTTCTACACCAAATCAAAGTTTCCACCCATGGGCTAGAGCTAGATAAATCTAAGTTGATAAAATATTGAAGTTTGCAACGTTGTTTTATTTATACTCATATTTACTCTATATGTTTAAGCTGCCTGCTATAAACTGGTGTAACAACGTTGCCTTCAAGCATATTTTACATACATCTAAACAATTATATATATATATATATATATATATATATATATATATATATATATATATATATATATATATATATATATATATATATATATATATATATATATATATATATATATATATATATATATATATATAAGCAGTAAGAAATCAAATGGTTTATGCATTTCATTTGTCTTATATCCCAGTTAGCCATGCCGATACCTTAACATAACCTTGTGTGAAGTCAATTACTGTCAATATTAAAAATCACTTCCTTGCCCAAGAAGAAACCAAAATTATAACCTAACTATATTTTATTTAATTTCATTTTATCCTGTTGAACTACAAAGTATTTGAAATTCTTCTAGGTGATAAATGATGGTATTGGTTTCGCGGGACCATTGCTTCTCAATAAGCTGATCAAGTTTCTTCAACAAGGTTCTGCAACAAGTAATAGTTTATGTTTCACCACTGTGACCATTAAACATTTTGCGTGTATTGTATCTCTAGCTTTATTTGTTCTTTTGCTTGAAATGCTTCTCTATTATATCACACTATTTGTGCACATTACTTTTATTTCTTACTCCTTGATAAAAAACTTCGTCTCCCAATCAAAACATGTTAACAGTGATAGTAGTCTCACCCCCCTTTATTTTTGGAGAAAAAAAAAATCCTTCAAGCTTCTTATCAACCGATTTGCACAAAAACATGAAATATTGGTTCCATTTTTTGTTACATTTTTCAGGTTCATTTTCAGGTTCAGCAAGTTGGGATGGGTATTTACTTGCACTATCCTTGGGTCTCACATCAATAATTAAGTAAGCTTGGTTATTTATATTTATATAACTATGTATGCTTCTTTTTTTCCCCCTCTTGTGCTATATGTTTCTAGGCTTCACTTCTTGTCTACTTATTGTTACTACTGTATATTGTTTATCCTGTACTATATGGAAGTAAATATTTATGGACAGAAATCTTTATGGGTGATTGATTTGTTCAAAAGTCATTCTGATGCTAATTTCATCGATAGTTACATAAAAATCTATGGAATAATATTCTACGGATTAACTATCTGCCTATCATTCACTCATATTATTCATTTGGTAGAATGTCTACATAATTGTGGAAATAACATAAAAATAAGAAAGGATGAAAGATTCATTATCTTGATTTAATAGAAAATGAAATTATGTTAGTTTGTTCGATATATAAAACCATTCATAGGAAGGACTCCTCATAAATAACTTAATCTTCTAGTAGAATTTCTTAGGGAAGAACACAACTAGTGGGAGGATTACGAAGCCTCCAGAAACATGGGGCCAATGTTACTAAAACTTTCACAAACCTATCCAATCTCTGTAAATTGGATATCTAAACCCCCTTATAAAGAAAGCATGTGTAGAATAACAGCAAGAAAGGATTCTCTTAATGATTTCATATTGTTCAACGTTTCCATATTGCATTCCCTCTGACTTTGAGCAACCTGTGTTGGATCTGTATGGTTTTGCAAAAGCTCTTCAATACTTTTTTTTTTTTGCTTTAGTTACCACTAGCAATTAGTAAATCAATTTCCTTTTGGTCTAGATCTTTTTTAGATACACAATATACTTTTCGTCTTTCCAAACTCAAGTTAAAGCTGCGATCTAGTATCATGACTCTAATCTATGAGAAGGTATGCTAACTGTTATTGCTTTTAGATTTTCACAGTAATGAAATTCTCATGGTGTCCCCCTTCATTCTAAAATGTGTATATTATTTGATGTTGTTTCAAGTGTCTATTTGTGAACCTAGCAGAGCGTTCAAAATTCACAAATGGAGAAATTCAGACATTTATGTCGGTGGATGCTGACCGAACTGTTAACTTGTGTAATAGTTTTCATGATATATGGAGGTATTTCCTTAATTTGACTGTATTCACCAAATTATCCTTTCCTAATCTACATCAGTAGTTTACCATTGATGCCAAATCACAAATGTTAATGTTTCATTAATGTTTGATTTACATATATCTCAAACAATGTGTCTTTATTGTTTCAGCCTGCCTCTACAAATTGGAGTGGCGCTTTATCTTCTGTATACTCAAGTCAAATTTGCATTTGTGTCTGGGTTAGCAATAACCATTTTATTGATACCAGGTACAATTATCACTGTTTATGGAGACAAAAATATATTTAAAATTAATTAATGAATTTTAATTGATGCAGTGAATAAATGGATATCAACATTGATTGCACGTGCCACCGAGCAAATGATGAAAGAGAAGGATGAAAGGTATCCATAAATTATTGTCTTTCCTATAAGTAATTAAATGTTTAATCCGTAGAAAATACCTAGTATTAGCATCCTATTTAGCAGTAATTTAATAAATATAGGTCATGCTATGGCTTTTGTATTTCCATCAACTCATAATTGGTCAATTTCATAAAATGTAGCAATTTCAGGCACATGGGCTCGAGTGGTAAACGAGCTCTGCTAAGGAACGAAGGTTCGGGGAATACAGAGTTCGATTTCTAGTGGGAACATTCCTTAGCTAGTGCCATGACCTCTCGGCACGAGCTTTGGACTACTAGGGCCCCATTCCCCTTGGAATCAGAATGCGAAAGCCAAAAAAAAATAATTTAAATTTCTTTTCAATTTATATTATACAATTTTTATAATTTTTCAAAATAAATTGTATACTTGCAAAGAACAGATGAAGCAGCACATCGCATGCCACAAAATTTGGTTAATATTAAAAAGAAATTTAAGTTACAATGTCCTGAAGCCAATACTTTTGCATGCTTTTTACTTCAAGGTTATTGCTGAACTAACTTTATCCGGCCAATTATTCCTTTGGTCTGAAGGAATTTTCTTGCTATCTGGGATGCTTGTGGTTTCTAAATGTGTTGGCAGAGAATTGATTCATATTGCTAGAGAATACGATGCAATTGAATTTCTTGTCATCTGTCCTTAGGTTTATAAGCTTATTGTTATTTTTTTTCTTTTAATTTTAGCATTTTTCTTTTTTCTGTTGAGCCATAATGGATGAATATGAGCCAAAGCTGCTAGTACATATAATACTAACATTATGCTTCTTCAGGATTCGTAGGACCGGGGAACTTTTGACTTATATTCGCACATTGAAGATGTATGGATGGGAACTTCTTTTTTCTAGTTGGTTGATGGAGACAAGATCTTTGGAAGTGAAACACTTAGCTGTACGACTTTTATGTAAAAAAAACTATTGGAAGCTGCTAAGCTAGTGTTTAAGAATGTCATAATGAGATAAAGAAGTTATTGGAAGCTTCTGAGCCAATGTAAAAAAGTCCTTATTTAATTTTGATCATCATGTTTCATCTGTGTTTTATAGACTCGGAAGTACTTGGATGCATGGTGTGTATTCTTTTGGGCTACAACACCGTCACTCTTTTCTCTTTGCACATTTGGACTCTTTGCATTGATGGGACATCAACTTGATGCTGCAACGGTAATTCAAACTCGTTTTACCTAATCTTATTGGCCTTCAAGTTTTTTTTCTTTCATTTAATCATTTTTTCTGTCAGTTGTTTCGAAATTTGATGTGGTCAAGGAAATATTAATTGCAGGTTTTCACTTGTCTTGCTTTGTTTAACACACTGATTTCACCACTTAATTCATTCCCTTGGGTTATTAATGGATTGATTGATGTGAGTCTCCTATATTCCATCAATTTTTATCAACAAAAGTAATTTTGCACACATAGACTAGTGATTAGAATGAAAAGAATCTCTAACTCCTCTGTAGGCCATCATATCCTCCAGACGGCTTAGTAGGTTTCTCTCTTGCTCTGAACATAGACGCAAAGTGGGAGAGAACATTTCATGTTCATCATCATTTCCGAGTGTACAGCCTGATTCCTTACAAGACTTGGCTGTCTCTATCCAAGATGCATGCTGTTCTTGGTCCAGCAGTGATGAAAAAGCATTGAATATGGTGTTGAATCATGTGACTCTTAGCCTGTCAAAGGGTTCCTTTGTTGCAGTTATTGGAGAGGTCAGATCCCTGTTTGAATCTTGTCAATGTCGTTATCCAATACAATGAAAACAGTATCTCTTAGAATGTGTGGGTTGGGTCTAACTCGACCCTACAAAATGGTGGGTGACCTAATGGATCTTAAATGATGCTCTAATACCATCTTAGAATGTGTGGGTTGGGCCTAACTTAATCCTACTAAACCGGCTTGTAGGATGAGGATTACTCCCACTTATAAACACGTGTTCAGGCCATATATTATTCAATGTGAAACTCTTAACAGTATCATATGCGGTGAAGGAATCACAATGGATACCCCACCTATCTCATTCCCAAATCATAATGATAATGGATATTTGAAATCCATAGTTCTAAAATATGAGTAAATAGATCATGATTTCTATCACTTGGTTATCTGTGACCGTCAAAATCATCTATATTTTTAATATTTCACTATTCAATTTGATAAATGAAATGGAGAGAAATGCACTTCACCTGTTATCTGAAGCACACCCATAGTTACGCTATTTACTTCACTAACTGCATATGTTCAGGTTGGTTCTGGCAAATCATCCATGTTATATTCAATTCTTGGAGAAATGCGGCTTGATCATGGGTCTATTTATTCCAATGGATCTATAGCTTATGTACCACAGGTTTGTATGTGATAATGCCATAAACAGCCTCAGAATGAAATATCTTATTTCTTTATTTCCTCAAAACTGCAGGTCCCTTGGATTTTATCTGGAACAGTACGTGACAATATATTATTTGGGAAAAGCTACCATCCTGAAAGGTATAATGCCTTCAACAATCACGGAGTTTTCATCTGATTGAAGCTTCGACCCATTTCCTCTGCTTGCTGCGAACATGATCTTTACAAACATGTTTTGAATAAAAGAACAGGTGCTCTTATCTAGTTATTATCTTCCTTCTGTAAACAGGTATACGAATACAATAAAAGCGTGTGCGTTAGATGTTGATATCTCATTGATGGCTGGTGGTGACATGGCATATATTGGAGAGAAAGGAGTCAACTTATCAGGTGGACAGAGAGCTCGTCTTGCTTTGGCAAGGTGCTAGTTTATTTGAGGTTTTTTTTTTATGCCTAGAATATATTGAATAAAAATAGCTAAGTATTGTTGAATTGGCAGAGTACTGTATCATGACTCGGATGTTATCATGCTCGATGATGTCCTGAGTGCGGTTGATGTACAAGTTGCTCAGTGGATCTTGCACAATGCCATTCTTGGTCCTCTTATGAAGGGAAAAACTAGATTGCTCTGTACCCACAACATTCAGGTTGTTGCATACTCTCTTTACAATTATTCTATGTATATACTATATGTTGGACTTCCGCCTTAATTGTAGTCCGCCCCTTGTCGCCTTAATTATGGCACTTTGTCTTGCCTTAATTGCAGGCCTCAACACCTTCCTCGCGTTGGTTTTGAAGGGGTGGATTTAGTCCCACATTGCTTAGAGATATGGTATGTGTTGTGTTTATAAGTGGGGGCAATTCTCATCCTACAAGCCGGTTTTGTAGGGTTGAAAAAGACCCAACCGCATTTCTTAACATGGTAACAGAGCCCGATTTAAGATCCATTGGGCTACTCCACTATCAAATTTTTGTGGAGGACGCTACTGCTACAGTATTCTGTAACACTTTACCAAATTTTTGTTTCACAATAGGATTGAAAATTACTATCGTAGATCAATCATATATGGATTTTTACATTAAGCCAAAATTATTTAATCTGTCATTGGGATTTATTAAGATTAATATTATGTGCATTTCTGAAACATAAAAACAAGAACTATTTGATTATATACTTATTATTGTTTAAAATCTTATCATATTTGACACAAGTAATCAACGTAAGACAGTTATTTTTAAATGTTTGTATCTAAAACTATGAAAAGGCATAATAATACATAAGACTGTGTATTTATGTGTGCATGTGTGTTTCATGGATGTCTTTTTATATGAGGACTAGCATAATGCTGTGTTTAAATTTATCTGTAGGCAATATCTTCTGCAGATATGATTGTAGTATTGGACAAAGGACACGTAAAGTGGATGGGAAGTTCAACTGACTTCCCAACTTCTTCATATACAGCATTCTCCCCATTGAATGAAATGGATTCAACTTCACATAATCATCAGCAATCTTGCAGCACAAATTCTTCTATAACCAAGGAGCAGTCTCTTCCTGATAGAATTGTCATGCAAGCTCAAGAGGATGCAGAGGATGTAATTGAAGTTGAGTTAAGAAAAGAGGGAAAAGTTGAACTTGGAGTTTATAAGTGAGTACAAACGCATTGAATGTTGATATCATTCATGTACGGGGAGCTTATGCTGTCAATTTTGTAAGTAAGCTTATGCACTTTTCAATAGTTTGTTAACAACTTAGTGCCTTATACAGGAGTTATGCTGCTTTTACCGGCTGGTTCATTGCCGTGATTGTATGTCTATCAGCTATTCTGATGCAAGCTTCGCGTAATGGAAATGATTTATGGCTTTCGTATTGGGTTGATACCACAAGGGAAGATGGTCAAACAAGTTACTCTATGTCTTTCTATCTGGTAATGTGCTGATCTGTTGTGATGGTTTTTATAGTACTTTTCTTGCTTGACATACTGTTGATAGACTAAATACTTTTTGGCACTGTGTGTCTAATTCAAGAAACACAACAAAATACTTTTAATCTAAATTTTTTTTTAAAAAGTAAAATACTTTTAATCCAAAACTTTATATGTATACAATTTTAAGTTCCTTCTTTTTGTAATTTGGAATCCCCTATTAAGCTTAACTGATTTTTTTTTTCTGTTCATAACATCTAGTTACCGTGAGGCGTGAGCTACTAATAATAAATGTAACTTTCTAATTTTGAGATGATAATTATTGCCCCAGGCTATTCTATGTCTCTTTTGTATCATGAATTCCTTTTTCACATTGGTGAGGGCATTCTCTTTTGCATTTGGTGGCTTACAAGCGGCAACTAAGGTACACAATAGACTGCTCAGCAAGCTTATCAATGCACCTGTGCAATTCTTTGATCAGACCCCGGGTGGAAGAATACTGAATAGGTTAGAATACTATGTCTTCAGGCCATAGCTGATTATAGTAAAATGAAATTTGTAGATTTCATGATTTATGATGTTCTGTGCAGGTTATCATCAGATCTTTATACAATCGATGATTCTCTTCCATTTATTATGAACATTCTCTTGGCTAATTTCGTAGGCCTGCTGGGTATTGCAATCATTTTGTCTTATGTACAGGTAGGATTCATAATAATTCTTAGTTTTTCTTAAACACTATGAGATTCCGGAATTTGTATTAACTGTCTCAATCATCAATATATTTTGGTTTTCTGTAGGTCTTCTTCTTAGTTTTGTTATTGCCATTTTGGTATATCTACAGTAGACTTCAGGTACTCATTTTGCTTATTATCATTTTCTTGTATTTAACCTCTCAGCTGGTTCAACTGATCAATGCAATGTCTTCAGTTCTTCTACAGGTCAACATCAAGAGAATTAAGAAGACTGGACAGTGTTTCTCGCTCTCCAATATATACATCTTTCACTGAAACACTTGATGGATCATCAACTATTCGAGCCTTTAAATCTGAGGTAAGTATATGTCATTTTAAAGAAATAATAATAACTAATAAGTAGAAATTTGTTTTTGTGTAAATTATTGGTAAGAAGTGTCCTTGAATGACTTTCAATTCTTACCTCTATCATCACTTAAAAGCTAATTCGATTATAAATGTGGAGGAAACAATCTTTGAACTTTGGATCATGTGGTCGAAGGAACCTTTGCACCATGTTGAAGAGCTTAACTGGAAAGTTTAACTGTTAAACAATGTTCAAAAATGGGTATTTTTAACTTAAGATGTTAATGATAACAAGCTTTATGAATTATAAGTAGTTGTTTGTTTAAAATCTTTTACTTATTACTTATTATATCAATGAACCAGATGAAAAACTTGAAGGGGTGAAAAACACAAGAAGGGGGGGGTTGAATTGTAAAACTGGAAACTTAAAGCAAATGACAAGATATTTTTATCCTGGTTCGTTTGATCTCAAACTACTCCAGTCCACCCGTTCAAGGTGATTTCGCCTCTCTCCAACGAGGTCTTAATTCACTATATTCAACTGAATACAAATCTGCTTTAGCAACTGCTAAAACCTTCTTGATTCAAACCACAATCCGGTTTGTCAAGGCAACACTTTCTTACAAAGGAATGAACAAGTGTGTATGAATGTTTTCTACAAAAACTATATCACAACTGTGATTTTTACACAAATGAAGCTTAGAATACTAAGTTGCTAAACGCTAATAGAGTATCAGAGTTTGGTGGTTTAGCAAAACTTGGAGATTGAAGATTATTGATCAGCTTTGTGCGTGTAGAGAGTTTGGAAGCATTAGCCATTATAATCTTCAAAGCTTGGTTTATATAGCACTTGAGAAGATGAACGTTGAAGCAAATATTCTTGATTCAATGCTATTAACAAGCTTTCCTTTCTGAGCAGATCTTGTCTAGAATGATGCCGTTGGTATTGATTAGCTTTCAATGCACAGTACCGTTGCTTCTTCAATGCACGTTCTGGCTTGGCTCATTCTGATTCTGCTTTGCTGCTGATGAACTGATTTGATTCTGTATCAGAGTATTTTACGCGCAGTTCTGTTCATCAAGCTTCAGCATGTGCAAGCGTTGATCATCTGATCTTGACTTTCTGATTCAGCAACTTCTGATGCTGGTGTGCAAACTCATATTCTGATGCTGAGAACGTGATCTTGCTTATTTTAATCAGCATATCTGCAAGTCAGAGCATAGTAATTTTAAGTAGCATACAATTCAATCATGAAATATTTAACTACTATATCTTTTCACTTTGTTATCATCAAAACTTAATTATAGGGTACTAGATTCAAACATTGTTCTAACAATCTCCCCCTTTTTGATGATGACAAAAACTAGATATTTTAAATTAAAAAATAACGTGAAAAGTTATCAGATCTATGTATCAGAATAAGAAGTACGGAGAAGTTAGAGTTAAGAAATACTCCCCCTGAGTTTGTTACTTCCCTTTGATATGCGTGTTCTTCAGAGTCAGATCTTTTTCTATCTTTGAGCATCAGATTGTAAGTCTTTGACTTATCAGAGAGCAGAGCTTCAGAGCTTTTCCTGTCAGAGCTTTGCTTCAGATCAGAGTGTTAGGTCGATCAGAGCTTCATATATCAGAACTTCATATTTGATCAGAGCAACATGAGCTTCTACATTTTGATCAGAGCTTCTAGTCTTCATTGTGCCTGTAGACTTAAAGACAAAACAGAAAAACATTTCAAGTAATAGAGAGTTAGAATGTTTGAGAGTTTCTGTCTAGTTAGCCGTTATTGATTTTAAATATCATTCTTGTTCTCCCCCTTTTTGTCAGCAATCAAAAAGTGCTGGTGATGTGCTAAAATGATTTAGTCCAGAAAAACTAATAATATTAAAGATAGTTCAGAATCAGAGCAAAATAGCATTACAAACCATAGTCAAAACATAGTCAAAAGTACATCAGAAAATGAAGAAAATATAGAGAATGCATGAGAAAATTTCAAGGTTGTGGGGGCATGCGTGAGAACAGGCTTTCCAGCATTGTCTGAATCTTTTCAGAAGTTGCATTCTGCTTCTGAACCATGGTGACAACAGAATCAATCTTGCTGTCCTGGACATTCATTCTTGCTTCCATCTTCTGATCATTCTCTTCCATCCGCTGCTGTAGACGCAAGTCATTCAGCCTTAATTCTTCCAGAGCCTGCCTGTCCAAGGCAGCTTGAGAACTTTCAGCAGGAGGAAGCTTCTCAGAACTTTCAGCTATATCTTCTGCTGGATTTTCTTCTTGAAGAGACTTGTCTTCTTCTGCTGGTTCCACCTGAGCAGCTTGCTCTTTCTCAGCCCAAGATTCAGAGTCCAGAGGCAGCACAACTTCTTGAGGCAGCTGACTCTCAACTTCCTTCAGCAGCTTGCTAAAGTTCTGTTAAGCCTGCTCATAGTTGACGTCCTGCAGCTTGAGTGCTTCAGCACGAACCCATATTCTGAACTGTGACCAGAGCTGATCAGAAGCAGCTGGGTCGATCATCCCCGGACAAACTTGCTTCAAAGAAGCAATCCACTGCAGCATACCTGTTTCAAAGTCCAAAATACCAGAGCCAACATCTAATTGCTTTGGTTTGGGAATGGCCAATTTGTGTCTTAAATCAGCAAGACGTTCAAGACTTGTTAAGTCAATGAATATTTTGCTGGGGTTTTCAGAGGATTGGTTTTCAGAGGTGTGCTGAGGTGCTGTTTGTTTTGGTGGATGGTTATCAGAGTCAGAGGATATATCTATTGGAGTGGTTGGAGTTTTTGGAGGTGTTGATTCCTCTGATGATGGTAACTGGGGTCTGACAATGGTGGTTCCACATGGCAACTGTATTGCCAGCGGTGAAGGTTGAGGTGAGTGGGGATCAGAATGATGAGGAGATGGGGTTTCATAGCGATGAAACTCTGTTGGAGGTGAGGGAGGATTATTTTCTGGTTGAGGGGGTGGAACTTCTGATTGTTCATGGATCAGAGGTTCTTCTGTGAGAGGTGGTTCTGGTTCTTGTTCTGGTTCTGGTTGTGGTTCTGGTTGTGGTTGTATTTCTGGTTCAGGTTGAATTTCTGGTTCAGGTTGTGGAGGAGGAATATTTAGTGGTTCAGAGAGAGGTTGAACAGAAGCATGTTCACGCTCAATGTCAGCTAGCACTCTATCAAGTGCTGGTGTTGTTGAAACAGTTGGTTGTTGTTTGGTAATTTTGAGAGGAATTTTAATTCTGGTTCTTCTGAGTTGTAAGGCCTCAGAAGGGTCTTCTGGTATGTTTTCATCAATAGTGGGGATTGGAATGGAAATTCTGTGAGAGGTTTGGGGTGGAGCAACAGATGTTGGAATAGTAGTTGAAATTGAAATAGGAGCAGTAGATGGATTACCTCGTTTCTTTGGAGTCTGGTGAGATGATCCTTCTGCTTTCCTCTTCTTTGACTTCTTCTGAGTCACTTCAGGTTGAACTTGACTCAGATCTTTGATCTTCAGCTTTGAACCTGCAACTTCTTCCTTGTATGAATCTGGATACTTGGCAACCATATCAGGGTGGGATTCCATCTCAGAAAATCTTGGGAAATCACTCAGAGGCACTCTTCTTCTGGAGATGTCAGCAGTTGAAGAAACTCTGGGTTCCTTCCTGATATTGTCTATCAGCTTCATCTTTTTCAGGTTCTTAGCATTCAACGCTTTTCCAACAGTTGGTTCAAAATTGCCCAGTACTTTAGCTTCGCTCAGATAATCTATCAGCTTATTCTCTGTCAGAATATCTGATATGAGCCTCCCAAATGGTATCCAGTCCCTTTTGGTCCTTTCTTCTTCTCTAGTCTCTTTCACACTAGTCTTCAGATGATTGAACAGGAAGTGTGCCAAATTGATCTTCACCTTCTGATCAATAAAGTAGATCAGAAATTGCTGATCCACGTTTATATAGTCAGGAGAGCTTGTTGGCTTCCTGTGATTGAAACAGCCTAGAACAATCTTGGCCCACACTCTGCAGTGATCCTTCAGATCCTTGATTTTGCTGCTGGGAAAACCAAGAGTGAAAATGCAGTTTGCTACCACACCAATATCAGGGCACCTATCAGCCATGTCCACACAACGGACTCCACCACCACTCTGACCAATTAACCTAGCAATGAGGTCTTCAGAAATTATTATCTTCTTTCCCATAACAGAAGAGACGACTAGATGCTTATCAATCTTGGCATGAATCCAAAATTCTTTGACAAGCTCTGGGAAGGTTGGTCCAACCAATCTATCAAAGTACCTCTCCCACTTTTGAGTTTTGACTTCAGCAGTTAGGTCAAATCCATTTTCCTTCAAACTTTCGAAATCCACTATTAACTCAGAGAGAACCTCAAGATTCTTTACTGGTGTGAGAAGAGTTCTGGTAGGCGCTTGATATTGCTCAGAGGTTTCCTTCTTCTGATTTCCTGCAGAAATGCTGGAGGATGCCATTGTTCTCACACAAAAAGCTTGAGAATGATTTGAGAAAAGCTAGGGTTTTGAAGGAGATATGCAGAAAAATTCTTAAGAGATTATGAGTAAGCGTAAAGATTAAGAATGAAGAGTAATGTGCTTAAATAGGATTTTCAAAGATTATTTTGAAAAATAAAACGTTTTTAAGAGAGAGAAAAAATAATGATTGCAATTAACAAACGTGATTACTTTTGCATTTGATGCTTGCTGATTTTGGGGGATTTGAGAAAGATACTTAAAAACGGTTACCAGACATGTGTCTCAATGCACCCAATCAGCGTTTTCCTTTCTCAGAAACGTGCACGCGTTCTGCTTCAGGGATTTGCTGATGATTGGATGACACTTGTTTGATGTAGTGATCAGCACGTCTGTATTTGAGATTAGACTCTCAGATCTTTAGACTTGCCTCTGATACAATCTGCATGTTTTAACTTTCTGAAACAAAGATTGATCAGAAGTTCACAGTAATATAATTACATTCTGAAAGATAAACATATGGAATTAAAGCATTTTCATTCTGGGCATACTTTCATGCT